AAGGCTCCTTCCATTTGTGGTCTTTGATGATGCATCGAATACTACTCTTAGTTTTGTTGTTGAACTGCTTTCTCGTATGACGGGCTGATGAGGGATATAATATCTTCCTTCATTTATTTTCTCTGGTTTGACTGGCTTCATGTGACCAAGGTTAATGTATTCTTGCATGAAGTTGTTGTATTGTTCTTTTAAGTTCTGGTTTGATGGCTTGTTAAGCTTCGACTTTTCAAGCTGCATTAAACGGGCTATGGCTTTTGGTTTCGAATCACCTAGATTTGGTGGATGTTCTTTAAATGGTGTATTGACTGTGTAATTCCCATCTTTGTTTCGTTTTATAGTCTTGTTGTATTGTGCTTCGCAATCTATGTCATTCTGAGACAATGGGCGGGGTTGATAATTTGTCACCTCTTCAATGTCCCAAAATTTTGTCAGTTGTTTATCTTCTTCTACGCGGCTAACCATGTTTAAAATTTTTACTGCTGGGCTTTTTCTTATGCTGCCTGATAAAATCCATCCCAAAGTAGTTTCTTGACCAAGTAATCCATCGTTAGATCTCTCTAGGCCCTTTTGGAGAATGTGGCTAACTTCTTCTGCTCCTAGAATGGCATCAATTGGTCCAGGATGTTGAAATGTTGGGTCAGCAAGTGGGTAATTCTTCCAATTGGTTGGAATTTCAGGCATCATTGGTTCGCTCGGTTGTTTTTGTGTTAAGGTTGGCAATACTATGAAATTTACTGATAGTGAGAAATTGCTCGGGAATCGGGATTGGACCTCACACTGAATTTTTGACTTGGATTGTTTTGAACTGTCTCCCAAACCAGTGACTTCTGCAGTTATTTTCTGCCGAGGATATCCCAATAGTTGAGCTGCTTCTTCTGTTATAAAGGCAGCCTGTGATCCTGAATCGATCAAAACTCGTAAATATTCCATGCTTCTATTTATTGCCTTGACACGGACTAGAGCTGTGGCCAAAAGAACTGCACGTTCTTCTTGGTGTTTATTCGTTGTTGTTTGATAGTTTGTTATTTTTGTTTTACTATCTTGTTTTGATCCAAATGATTTGTTTACATATTTTTGTGGTTGTTTTTCCGTATGTAAATATGTGTGGTGCTGTTTGTTACATGTTCTGCAACTCCATTTGCTGTAGCAAGTCTCTTCCGAACTGTGACCAAGACAATTGTAGCACAGTTTCTGTGACTTGACAAATTCGTTTCGCTCTGCCACATTCATCGACAGGAATTTTGGACATCTTACTATGGCATGCGTTCGTTGGCACATGATGCATGATAGTGTTTTTTCCTTTGTCTTGTAGTTCAGGTTGGAAGTGTTATGCGTGTTTTTGTGAAACATCGGTTTTGTGTAATTTTTTTTTGCTTCTAACGATTGGAATCTTCTTTCTAAGAAGCTCATTATCGAAGCTAGTGTTTGAACTTGGGTCGGGTTTTCTAATGATTGTTCGTAGAGCCTGTTCGTTTCTTCATCCCATTTTCGACTGATAATTCTTCCAATCAATGGACCCCATGGTTCTGTTGAAATGCCCAAATTGTCAATCGCTTTGAGACATTCATTTGTTACATCATGTAATCTTTGTAATTGTTTTGTGGTTTCACCTTTTTTGAAGATCCAGGATTTGATCCACTAGTTTGCTGACTATTATTCGTGTATTTTCGTATGTTGGATCAGTCGGCTGACTTCTTCTCGGACATGCGCTTTTAGATATTGCATTTTTTCAATGCGTGAGATTGTCTTGTTCTCATGAATGACCTTAGTAAATATGTCATGAAATGTTGCCCAGTTTTCGTATCCGCGTTTGAAATGTGGAAGTTGTATTTTTGGTAATGAGAGGTTTGATTTACTCTCATTGTTGCTTTATGCTATTCTTTCTTCTAGTTTCTCCACATATTCATCATAAAGTAGTTCTATTTCTTCAAATTGTTCGTCCTGGAAGTACTGGTCAGTAAATTCGTCTTCGTGAACTATCAGCCCTTCGTGAAGTTCTTGCAGTGAACTCCACTGGCTCGACAGTTTTTTCATCAGATTTTCATATCTGTACTTTGGTTTATCTACCATAAGTTCTGTTCCTAAACTCTCTAAGTTGCGTTTTAGGGAGTTTAGGCGTAGTTTTTGTTTACGGAGTCTAATAATTTGTTCGTTGTTTGTTTCACTTTGTACTTCTGTTTGTTTGGCACAAGTCGATAGGTATTTTCTAGTTTCTTCTGCCTTGTTTAGTATTTGTTCATAATACTTAGTAGTAAAGTATACGTGGGGGATACACTTCAATTCTTCTAACTTCTTGTTGTTTTCTGCACATTGTTGTACTAATTCGTCGATTTTGGCTGTCCTTTCCGTAATATATTGGGGTGTTTTTCTTGGAGGAGTCCTTTTTTGAATTTGACAATAGCTTGGAGATGGCTTGCCCAATTTCTTCTTGTTTGGCCACTATTTTGTTGGTTTCCTCCATTGAGCTGGGTTTTGATGTTGCTGTTTTTAGTTTGTGGGATGTCTTCTTGTAGAAGTTAGGGAAGTTTAAGGGTGGGTGCAGGAAGAAAGGGTGTGAATTGGCACTATTAGTCTGTGGGTAAATGCATTGAAGAAAGCCCTGGTCTTGCTTACTGCCCACGTCTTAATAGAGCTTGGTCTTGTTTAGCTAACCTCAGTGGGTGAGTGCAGGGAAGAAACCCCTGGTCTTGCTTAGCCCACTGAATTTAAGGGTTAGTTACCCTGGTTGGCTTGTTTTATAATCAGTAAGTGACTGCAGGGAAGAAAACCCTGGTCTTGCTTACCGCTCACTGAATATTTTTGAGTTCGAAGGACCATGTAAACTCTTGTAGAGTTTAGGGAATGTTGAGGGTAGTTAGGTGATGTGAATGATAGGCTGGTTGTGGTTGAAAGAGAGAAAGTTTTATTAAATTAATTCCTATTTATACATAATTCTAATGTGACGTAGCAACTAGATAATTTAAACAATGTGCAAATATGCAGTTACGGCGATGACCGATTAATTGGTACTGATTTTGTAGGCTTAGCACCTTTGGGTCGGTCACCGCTTCGAAATATTAAATTATTTAAATATATAAAAAATTAAAATTAAAAAATATTAAATATAAAATTTTGGAAAGTATAAGATATTAAATTTGTTTAATTGACGATTAAACAAACTTACTCCTACATTTTTTCTCATATATTATGACAAAAAACACCAAATAAAGTATAAACACGCAGCACGTGCTTTAATTACTAATAACTAACCCACTAATCGGTTTCAAAAATAGGCGCGCGAAAATTTTGGGTTAAAAACGATCTCTAAAACCAGTGGGACAACGACCGGGTTTAATTTATAGCGCGTAATACCCTCTGGAATTCTTTAAACAGCGCCTGGGACTTATATAACCCATTGGGACTGAAAGGGTTTTCGACCTGTATACGTCACCAGTCATATTTAAAAAAAAAACATAACTTTTGTATTCACATGTTTATAACATGAGCAGCATTTCAATGCCATTTTAACCAAAAATATATTAAAAATATATTTTTTTTAAATAACGTGACTAACCTAGCAGCATTAAAAAGTTTATGCAAGTAAACTAGTCCTTAATTCTCCCATTTTTGGAGTAAACTTAACTGGATTATTATCTTCTACAATCCCTCCCAAAATAGTGCGATTGAATAAAGGACCAGAATGAATGTAGACTTTCATGAAACTTAATATTTAGAATAAAATGAACCATGAAAAGTAAGTCAAGCATTTGAAAAGTATACTCTTTTCTGCATGGAATAAGTTTACTGTCAACATAGATGTGATAGCTGATGTCATCTTTTGAGGGTCCCTCAGCAATTAAAAAGGGTTGACTGTTGAGGAGTCCAAATTTTGTTATATCGCCAAAAGGAAGGTTTGTCTAAAAAAATTATCTGATATTACCAAAAAACTGTAGAATATACTTTTTTAAATACTAATAGTTTATCAATAGAACTGTCTCCGCTATCCCGGTTTCCTCGTTTTTCTTTCCCACTGGGTTTTGCAATATTGCTAATATAGCTCGGGTCTCTTTATTCCAGACTTAAAAATTAATAATATTTTTATTAACTTCAAATAATAATACGTACGTATACCTACTTAACTTAATATCTTCCTGATAATAATCAAGTGGCTTTAGCGTTCTTCGTTTGTAAATTGATATTATTTTATCAGCTTCACATGGAAAGCATTCCGCAAGGGTGGGTTTTTTCTCATATATTATGACAAAAAACACCAAATAAAGTATAAACACGCAGCACGTGCTTTAATTACTAATAACTAACCCACTAATCGGTTTCAAAAATAGGCGCGCGAAAATTTTGGGTTAAAAACGATCTCTAAAACCAGTGGGACAACGACCGGGTTTAATTTATAGCGCGTAATACCCTCTGGAATTCTTTAAACAGCGCCTGGGACTTATATAACCCATTGGGACTGAAAGGGTTTTCGACCTGTATACGTCACCAGTCATATTTAAAAAAAAAACATAACTTTTGTATTCACATGTTTATAACATGAGCAGCATTTCAATGCCATTTTAACCAAAAATATATTAAAAATATATTTTTTTTAAATAACGTGACTAACCTAGCAGCATTAAAAAGTTTATGCAAGTAAACTAGTCCTTAATTCTCCCATTTTTGGAGTAAACTTAACTGGATTATTATCTTCTACAATCCCTCCCAAAATAGTGCGATTGAATAAAGGACCAGAATGAATGTAGACTTTCATGAAACTTAATATTTAGAATAAAATGAACCATGAAAAGTAAGTCAAGCATTTGAAAAGTATACTCTTTTCTGCATGGAATAAGTTTACTGTCAACATAGATGTGATAGCTGATGTCATCTTTTGAGGGTCCCTCAGCAATTAAAAAGGGTTGACTGTTGAGGAGTCCAAATTTTGTTATATCGCCAAAAGGAAGGTTTGTCTAAAAAAATTATCTGATATTACCAAAAAACTGTAGAATATACTTTTTTAAATACTAATAGTTTATCAATAGAACTGTCTCCGCTATCCCGGTTTCCTCGTTTTTCTTTCCCACTGGGTTTTGCAATATTGCTAATATAGCTCGGGTCTCTTTATTCCAGACTTAAAAATTAATAATATTTTTATTAACTTCAAATAATAATACGTACGTATACCTACTTAACTTAATATCTTCCTGATAATAATCAAGTGGCTTTAGCGTTCTTCGTTTGTAAATTGATATTATTTTATCAGCTTCACATGGAAAGCATTCCGCAAGGGTGGGTTTGTCAGGATATAACATAAAAAATTCATATTCAATCTAAAACAAAAAATGTGCAAATTTATATTAAACGACGAGATTTTTTTAATAATTCATGCATAAAACTAGAGGAACTTGGCCACCTGCACTCGCTGAGTTTACATCAACTTAAAGGCAAACAGTTTGTCATTATATACCGATCCTACGTTAAGATGTGCATCAAAGTAGACAAAAACTCTTCTTGAAAACTATACAGTAGATATAAAAGAAAAATAAATTAAATTTCTTACAAGCACAGGTGTATCTATGAATTTAGGAAATTCTTTCAATATTTTGGCCGTTCGTTGTCTTCTGTAAAAAACGTTTTCTTCAAAATTTCATCTATATATTTTCTTGGGTCCGCAATGACCATACAAACAATCACTGTCAATTGGACCTCATTGCTCTCGTTGGATTTTATGACGTTTTTTAGCCTCCAAGCTAAAAACCCTTAATGCTTTTGAGGATCAAAATAAGCCTCCTAAAATAAAAATCGTAGAATAACAAAGTCAGTAACGATTTGACTTACATATCCTAAATAAGCTTTAGAATTACGTAATTTCGGAAGCATAGTCACAACTGCTTCAGCATACTCTTCTTTGACGTGTGTGCACATGGGAATTGCGAAACCATGGCGTTCAATCATTATATCAAGGACTATTTGCACCATCAATTTTCGAGTAGAAGTGGTAAGTTTCTCTTCCTTAATGTCATCGCTATTCACTTTATTGTACTCTTCGAAAAAAAATTCTCCATTTTTTTAAATAACAAATAATAATAATAATAATAATAGTTTATTTGCTGAAGGTGTACATTATTTTACATTATATAATATGTATACAATTGCAAAAAGGACTGGAAGGCAGTTAGAAACTGATTCGAGTTCCAGACCAAAGAGAGAAAAAAATATATATATATATATATATATATATATATATATATATTAGGGTGTTCCTTATTTAGGGGTCGGAAAAAATTTAACCGAGCCGCCCCCCAAATCGGTTCCAAATCATAAAAAAAAAATTCCTGCAAAATTTTAGGTCATTCGGTCAAAGGGAACACGTGCCCCACAGGGGTTTTTTAAGAAATAATTGAGAAAATTCGGAAGGCTGATATAACTCCGAAACGGTCCATCGTAGTAAAAAAAAGTGTATATAAATTTTATGTGTTTTTTTAGATAAACAACTTTCGTAATAACAGTCCTACGTTAAAAAAATTTATTCGGGGTCAAAACGCGATAAAACGTTTTTTTGTGTACTTTAGCGCTACCTACTTTTTCAATTTTCTGTCCTAGAGCATCGACCCAATGACATAAATTGTAGGGGACAATGCACCCTACATTTTTTGTTGACAAAATTTTTTTCTTAAACTAACCGATTTTGAAAAAAATTAAATCCAAAACTTTTTGAGTTTTCACCAAAAACACGTTGTGCTCCGAAACTCCGAAACGGTTTATCGTAGGAAAAAAAAGTTTAAATAAATTTTGTAGTTTTTTTTCAAGCTAATCAACTTTCCTAATTCCTTTGTCACAATAGTGTTAATGTTAATGGTAATGTTTATATAGCATAGACAAATGCGTGTATCAACGTAACCATCAACATTACCATCATTGTGAACGGATACACGCATATTTCTATGCTTTGGGTATTAACATTAACATTACTATTAACATTAACACTATTGTGAGATATAATAATAGTGCTGCGTTAAAAAAAAATCGAGTTCAAAAAGCGATACAACGCTTTTTTTGGTACTTTGGCCCTACCTACTGCTGAAATTTTCGATCGACTTAATAACATAAATTGTAGGGACTACATTTTTTGATTAAATTTTTTTTTCTAAATCTTATCGTTTTTGAGAAAAATAAAATATAAAAAAACAAAAATTGAGTTTTCTTCTTAATCCGGAGTAGGATAACGCAGTTGAGTTTTCTCCTTAATCCGGACTAGGATAACGCAGTTGAGTTTAGGCTTTTCTTATAAGGCCACAATGATTCACGCAAAAAAAAAATCTTGCAAAATTTAAGATTAATCCGTCAAAACTAACACGTACGCACGTGTTATTTTTGCCGATTAACCTCAAATTTTGCAAGATTTTTTTTTTGCGTTGATACACGCATTTGTCTATGCTTTATTAACATTACCATTAACATTAACACTATTGTGACAAAGGCATTAGGAAAGTTGATTAGCTTGAAAAAAACTACAAAATATATTTTAACTTTTTTTTCCTACGATAAACCGTTTCGTAGTTTCGGAGCACAACGTGTTTTTAGTGAAAACTCAAAAAGTTTTGGATTTAATTTTTTTCAAAATCGGTTAGTTTAAGAAAAAAATTTTGTCAACAAAAAATGTAGGGTGCATTGTCCCCTACAATTTATGTCATTGGGTCGATGCTCTAGGACAGAAAATTGAAAAAGTAGGTAGCGCTAAAGTACACAAAAAAGCGTTTTATCGCGTTTTGACCCCGAATAAATTTTTTTAACGCAGGACTGTTATTACGAAAGTTGTTTATCTAAAAAAAACTCATAAAATTTATATACACTTTTTTTTCCTACGATGGACCGTTTCGGAGTTATATCAGCCTTCCGAATTTTCTCAATTATTTCTTAAAAAACCCCTGTGGGGCACGTGTTCCCTTTGACCGAATGACCTAAAATTTTGCAGGAATTTTTTTTTTATGATTTGGAACCGATTTGGGGGGCGGCTCGGTTAAATTTTTTCCGACCCCTAAATAAGGAACACCCTAATATATATATATATATATATATATATATATACACGTATTCATATAAAGGTGAGATCCTGATAAACCCTAGGCAACCTGAGATCCACTTAAAATATAGCATATTAGAAAAAACCAATAATACAAAATTAACTAAAACAATATTGTTAGCAAGTACACCAACAGAGGGGAAACATTTTTTGCAATTAAATAATACACCAAGTATATAACACAACACGAGATCCTTTAAAAAGTTAGTGATAGACGAGATCCGCCCTTGTATAAGTTGATATTATAACATTAAGCTGAGGTCCAACAGTGTTGCCAGTGTTTATTCTGTCACTGGAGGATATTTTTATGGCGTTGCCGCCTAACCATGAGTCAACAGTGATATGATATCGCCCCAACAACTAGATAACTTGAAACTCGAGTTTTGAGAAAATCCACTTTAAAGATTTAAAACGCAAAAAAATTACAGCTGTTAAGTAATCAGATAATATCATAGATGTTAAATATTTTTGATTACTTAACAGCTGTAATTTGTTTCGTTTTAAATCTTTAAAGTGGATTTTCTCAAAACTATAAATTTCAAGTTATCTAGTTGTTGAACTAAGGGGACGATATGACTTCTGATTTCCAAACTGTTCGATTAATAAAGTATTTGTCTTTTTTAATTCTAAATAGGTACTACAATTTTAAAGTTACAAATTGGATTTTCAAATGGACTTTTACATTTCAAATAAAACCACAAACAAATAAAAAGTGGCTTGCGTTTTCCGTTTGTTATTTCAAGCAAATAATTTTCTTCGTTATATGTTTAAATAATTTCGCGATCGTCAAAAAAATATATTTTTTCACATTTTTTACACTTGATATTGTTATACAGGGTGTCTGGAAAAAAGAGGCCAATCCTTTAACCATATATTCCTTGAGTTAAAACAATTACACTTTTATAATACCATTTTTTAATTTACAGCTTCATGTTCGATATACAGGGCGATAAAGTTTGAAATTTAAAATTGATTTATTTTAATAATTCGAGTAATTGATAAAATATTAAGTTCAAATTCGGTACACTACTTCAACATAAAAAGTTGAGGACAACAAAACAAAAAACAATTGTCAAAAAATCAAAATAGGGTGGTACAGTACTCACTGACCCCCACTCTTTTTAGTACGTGCGCCAGTGACTTCCAAACGGTATTTTTTCAGGTAGGTAATCACTTATTGTTGATTATTTTTTGTCTCTTATAAATTTTTATGGGTTTTCATACCAATTCCAGTGACCCATTCGAGTTAATAACAAGGGCTTTCTATACTATAAAGATAATAAAATCCCCAAGTACAATTCTGCCGTGCTTAATGAAAACGCCGTAACCAACAATAATTGTTGTGCGATTTTTGTTTTACGGCATTTTCTACTAGAAAACGTCATCCTGCGTTTATCCCCGGTACTCAAAAAACCGTATCTATATATATACGGTTTTTTGAGTACCGGGGATAGACGCAGGATGAATTGTTCTAGTAGAAAATGCCGTAAAACAAAAATCGCACAATTGTTGGTTACGGCGTTTTCATTAAGCACGGCAGAATTGCACAACAAACTTATTTTGTCTTTATAAACTGATCTTTTAACAATAAAGTCCCTGTGTAGAAATTAAATTGATTTAAAAACCCTATTCGTGAAACCGTAAGCAAAAGTCGACGCCATACCAACCATAATTGGGTTGGATGTATACATCTGAAGATTTTGCAAATAATCGCTGCAGTAAAACTGGAGGATCAGAGTGTAAAACAAAAAATATGAAGTTTCAAAAATAAAAAAAGTATTTTTTTGTACTGCTTAATTACACAATTTCATGTACATGTACATGTACATTAAAAATGACCTGGATGCGGTCTGGATGGGTTGATGGTATCTTTGTAGAACAAAAAGTTATGACCATTTGAATGACTCGTTCGCGTAATCTGTATTAACATACTTCGCCTTTCACCAATAAGTAATATAATTTTTGTTTTATTTTTATTCAAAAATACAAGAACGTCAAACGGCAAACAACTTTATTGGAATTCGCAAATTCCAAACAATTTGAAGTAAATTATTTGGATTTGACATAGAAAAATTAAAAAAACGAAAAATCCTATACTTTGTTATCTATGTCGATCAATCCAACAGTTCTTTGTTTTGGGGAGGGAATAAATCCAAAATCTGCCAGAGAAGTGGTTACTCTACTAGGTTTAAAGATGTTAAATACACTGGGTATCCTTGATGTTTACATGGAAAATGTTGTTGTTCTACAAAATGACCCAAGCAATATTCCTGGAGAAAGCATAAGTGATATTTTAAGCCCTGACCCTGTCAAAAAAATGAAGTAATTAAGGCAAAACTGATTTAGATTTAATTTTTTACCAAATGTGATTTAATATCATATAATATTAACCTTTGTTAGAAATATAAACTAAAATAAAAAAATATTTAAAATGGAAAATAGATATTTATAATATAATATTAGAATTCTACTAGAAAACTACCCAAAAAAATCATTTATAAAAATATTCTTATATATTTAAAAATATTATTTATATTAACACTCTACTATTATGCTTAAATACTTGATTTACCGTTTTAGTTGCAATAGTTCGTGTGAATTTGTTTACCTTATTGAATTGAAAACTTTTTATTTAAAATAAAATTTAATATTTAAATTGATTGTTATTATTTTGAAAATATTTTTAAATTATTTTTAAAAGGAATTATTTGCTGTTAATTAAATGATTATTTTTACAAAATAAGTCATATTTTTCATATAACCATATAAAAATACGATAAAACGTAAAATTTTTATGTAAAATATTAATAAATGCGACTTTTCTGGATGTTTTATTGGTTATAAAAATTTAGCATTTGATCATCAATTATAA